GTGACAAGAAGACGAGGAAGAAGACGTAAGAAGATGCTGGATGACCTTGGGGACAGAAGAGGATACTGTCATTTGAAGGAGAAAGCTCTAGATCGCATTAAGTGGAGGAATTGTTTTGGAAGAGACTGTGGACCTGTCGTCTTGACAGATTACTGATGATCGATGATGATGATATAATAACTAATAAGATAATCTAACTAGCATAAATTTCCATACCAGTACTAGAAATGCAGTTTTCCAAATTTACCACAAGGAGTCTCTGATCATGTGCAGCTTCCATACTAAGAAACTTCCAGTATGGTGTGACTGAGGGGAGACAGCTTACAAGTGGATGGATTCAGTTCTACTGAAAGAAAGAAAAACTCAGAATAACTACGTGATGATGCAATTCTGTAGGAGTAACCACTCCACCCTCCATGGTAGCCACACATTACCACGGCACTGAAAATATAAACCTCAAAGACAACATAACCTATCATTAAAAAAAAAAACTGAAAAAAGCAGTATGGTGAAACTACTACATAAAAGTAGCTACCTTATGATGACCATGTAAGATCAAAATATGTTGTGACAACATAGCACACCAACAGCTTATGAACACAAGTAGTTGCAACTTCAAGAATGTCCACACAAATTAAATCATTAACCAGTGCAACAGAATGTTGAAATTTAATATTCTAAAGGAAAACGATGACTTAAATGAACACATTTCCAATACAATCCTATTCCAGTAACAGAATATGAGTCATGCAAATTCATGAGTTTAGTGGGACCTGAGGTTCTCACACCGGTGGCTGTGAAGAGCTCTATCTTCTGGGATATAATGCCATGTAGTCTGCCAAAAATCAACCAATATTTCAGTGGGACGTCACCTCCATCTTCAGGGTCAAGGAATAAGCCGAGCAAGAAATCAGCATGAGACTGTTGCAAGCTTTAAATTCTGAATAACTAAAATTTCTAACATGATTTCAGTTTTGAAGATTCTTAAAATCGGTGTCCAGTTTTTAAGATTCCAATAAACATTTACTGTAGCTTCATAAAATTGATACAGCACTATGAAGATAAAATGGCATTTAGGTAGTTAGTTAGTTAGTTAGTTAGTTAGTTAGTTAGTTATTGGAGAGGGTGGGTTTCCCCATGCACTTAGACCTGTAGTGGTCCATTGTGCTTCCCTCTATGATTTCTACCAGTCTCTATATCCTACCGGTATTGGTGCTTACCATCAGTCCCGCCCAGCCAGCGAGACCGGCTCTACTAGCTGAGAGGTATCTATAATGCTTCCCCCATCTACCAGAGGTATTAGTGACTGCTGTTGGGCGGGAAACGTCCATAATTTTGGCTCAGTGACCTCCTTTGGAGATATGAGGTTCTTTTACGTGCCGTAAAGCTACAACATGGGACCCACGGCTTAAAGTCCCTCCCGAAGGACTTGTTCCCTGAATTTTTGCGCCCTTAAAGATTCGACAACCTCCGCCGGGTATTTGAACCCGCGTACTACGAGTCATGAGGTGGGAACGTTACCTCTAGACTACGGAGGCCGCTTTAGGTAACTTCAGACAATAACTTTGGATATTCTGATATTCCTCAAATTAAGGTGAAGTACAGGTAAGGCATGGGGCTCCATTAGGGTTCCCAGATACCCCGTTTTCCCTGGATTCTTCCGTTTTTTCACCCAAATTTTGTTCCTCCATTTGTTTACCCGGAGTGGATAATTCTCCATTTTTTTTACTTAAGTCCATTGCTAATTATATTTCATGGGTTAAATATTATCATAAAATTTCTGTAATCCTTGGAAAATGACATTGTTATAGCTTCTTTCGTTATGTTGCATTTCGTGAATGTTGGCAACACTTGAGGTTCTAAACCAAAGTTATGTAGTATGTTGATTATGTATATTTTATAGCCTGTTAGTTGTGAAAAATGTCATTATAAACAAGCAACGAGACATCACTCCTTTTTTTTATTTTACAAAATCTGGCAACCCTAGGCTCCACTGCAACCTGGCTTCCTGCATTTAAAAGGCTTCAAATCTATGGAGTCTGTGTGGTGCTGCATCTCCAGAGAAGTTTGTGGTTTTCACAGCACTTAAGTTATGTGGTAGCAGCATGTTCTTTTAAAACACCAGTATCCACCTACCAGGCTACATGATACCATAACCCAGGAGAACATAATGCAAATCTCCACTGTTGATAAAACTTAAAATCACATACAGGATTGGCTAGGTTGTAAGATTACATCAAACTATACATGCTTAAAGTGATCCCATAGAATCGTGTGATAATTCACACATCACATTAAAAATAGAGCAGCAACGTGCAATTTCTACCTCATTAAGATGTACATATCTTCTCTGAAATATTCTTCTCACTGATACTTCATAAAGTAAATATAACATAACTTTCATGCATAAATTTAAAAGAGCTTAATTTGCTTAGTTAAATGACAAACAGTTACCTTTGTAATAAATTTTTGCAAAGTTTATTAAGAAGAAAAATGACAATAATAAATTAATATATATAAATTACACAGGTTTGCTCTAAAATAAGTCAATGACAACAGCCTAAACACAACATTCATTAACAGTTTTATGTCATGCTGCTGAATCATGTATGAATGTTGTTACAGTACTACTGGCTCTTGCAGATAAATTACTAAATACACGTTGTAATGTGGCTCGCAGACCATAGCCACAGCTGCAATGTTTTAAAAGCACATATATGATGGTAGTGTACCCTGTGTACTTAGTGCTGTATCATTGATTTCTAATCTAATGGCTTCATAGCAATTTATAAATTCTGCTCCTGTTTTCCAAACTCACCTTACCTTCAAAACCCTTTCAGCCCCAAGAATACAGATGACCCAAACCAAAACTAGAAGTTGAATGTATGAAACGGGCTAAAATGAGAACAAATGTGGAACACAACAGATAATTAAGTAGCATGCAAAAATTACTGATATGAATGTCTCTGTTTTTCTTATCACCAATTCTCTTTCCCATCAATATGAGGAGTCACCAGGCAGTAGTGCCCCACACAATTTCCTTTCACAAGGGAGCATATGATGTAATTAGAACCTGAGATTCCATTGCTTAGCCTAGTCTATGTGCAACCTTGGTGTCCTGAACATTAGCTGAAATGGATGTCTTGCTTCAGGCTATATGGGGGGGGGCAAAAAAATCCATCAACTGAGCCAGCATGATGGCAATAGTTGTAAGAGGGAAGAAGTCACACCACGGATTAGAAATCTCCAAATTATTTTGCCTTCTATAGAAATGTATTCTATTGCAAAAGTAATCATATACTAGAGACAAATGACTGAACATCATGGTTAAGTAGGTACAAGTCCTGCTTTTATTCAAAAGGGTCAGATTCAAATCTTACTTCAGTCGGTCTTTTGTGGTTTTCCTCAATCCCTCCAGGTAAATTATTGGTTAGCACCTAAAATCAGACGGATATCTCTTCTACATCCTTTCCAGTTCACTCTTTACAAAATCTTTATGTTCAGAAATTGACGTGAATGATTCTTACCGTAAATTTTCAATTCATGATACCCATGATAAACACGACTGCAAGGAACATACTTCCATTCCTTGGTTGACACTTCATTTTTTGTGCTAAAATTCGCAATATATTCATCTAGATCTGTTCTTCTGCTGGTTTTTACTGTACAATATATAATATACATCGGGCAATAGGTGAGAATATAATTAAACTTCTGAAAGGCAAATTCAAACTGATGGCCCAAGTTCACAAATTAAAAAGAATATGCATAATCATTTTATATAGCCATTGCTCCGTATTTACAGCACTTTTTTATGTCGAGTCAATACATGTTTTTTAAACGCCATTTTATGGTCATACTGTTAATACAGTGATATTCATTATGTTGAAATTATAAAACTACCTCATCTAAGACATGTAAGCAAATTTAAAAGGTGCAACGCTACTGTTCAAAGGGCGGCAAATTTCACAATCTTCCACTCGCAAAATTAGTTCTAAGAACACTAATTCACAGATCACATCACACAATCACAAAAACTTCACCCACAACTGTCATGGACGTCATGGATAACTGCAATACACGCGGATGACGCGGAACGTCCGAGAATACAATTACGGCGGCTCAGTTGATAAATAGTACATACTTTACGTCACACTTTTAACTTGACGGTACCTGCAGACTTAACTCTCAGCGGAATATTCTTACATCTTAAGGCAAATGTGAGCAATGTGAGTGAAATTGCGAAGATTGCATATAACCCCTTGTAATCTTTAAAAGCCAACAGACGTTTCGGAGGTCACGGCTTGCTGCCTGCGTTACCCTACTGTCTTGTTCGGCTTATTCTTTGACCCTGAAGTTGGAGGCAAAATGTTCCCCCGAAGCGTCTGTTGATTTGCAACGGACTACACAGTTTTAAATCCCAGATGACAGAAATCTACATAACCACTGCTATGAGAACCTAAAATCATATAGTAGTGATGTTGGCAAACTTCGGAGCAAATGAAAAGGTTTAACCATGCTGATTTCTTTGTCCCAGAAATTTCAGTTCACAGGAGTAAGTATTTAACAAATATAAATAGAAAACCTCCCTATAGGAAGATTCTGAATCAATGCTATTTAGACTGCAGATAGAAAGAAACCTTTACTTGTATTATTCATAAGGGTTGAGGACAGTTGATTTTGGAAAAAGTATAATAAAAAAATAATTTTGTTCATAAATATTTGTATTCAGCTTTGTAACTAGTATCCACCTCTTACTCTTGATAAAATATATCCCATACCAAGGAATTAACAGATTTAGCACCTTTGCGTCAGTGAAAGAATTTACTGCCCAGCTACAAGAATACAGGATAGTGTAATTTTACACAGTTTGCATGTTCATATGCGTTTTATGTAAGAAGAATACTTCTGAGAGCAGAAATGATACTAGAGTTTAAATAATAAAACATATTTCCTTACATAACAAACACATGTTTTCTCATATTTCCTTGTACTGACAGCATCATATAGTGATCTCAGACAATCAACTACAGGCTTTCTATTGTGTCAATGAATTATAGGAGGGAATATACACACTTGATATGTTGAATGAAGAACAGTATGTTGTTTTAAATACTGTGTATTGCAATTTGGTGTTCACTAGAGTAAACTTCTGCTGTACATCCAAGAACCAGCTTGTTTTAACCTTTCAAGTATGACTTCCTACGAACTACTGCCTCCACAGGCTGACCTAAGAGAGAGGAAGGAATAGAACATTCAAGAAAATCGTTCAGTGAGGAGCTTCATAATTTGTACTCTTCACTGGATATTATGAGGATGGTGAAAAGTAACAAGGACGAAGAGGGTTGTCCATGTACCAAGCATGAAATGAATACAAGGCTTCAAGCAGAAGACCTGAAAGAAAGAGACCACTTGGATAACCCAGACATGAGATGAACTGAAATGGATCTAAAAGAAATAGGGTGTGAAGCTGGGAACAGAATTCATGTGGTTTGTTGAGGTTGAATGAACATGGTAATGTACCTCTGGGTTCTGTAATAGACTAGAATATGTCTACAAACTGAGCAACAGTCAGCTTCTCTAGAAGGCTCTGGTCCATGTAATTAAATAGTATTTTGAACAAAAGTGAAACTGATGGGAAGTATGGATTATTATAAATTCAGTTCATAATTTTTAGGAACAAGGAAGTTTTAATATGCTATTCTCTGTATAGCATGTGTCACATAACTTCGAACAAGGCCAAGAGTAACCTTGAATGCACAGAAGAAAAATTTCAGACAAGGGGGTAGGTTCAAGGGAAGAAGGAGTGTTAAGAAACTCCTCCCACCCCAAGCTATGTGCAGGATTTGACTAGGAATGTGGGGCCTTGTTCGAAGTTATATAATAATACCTTAAAAACAACAATAAATTTCCTATATTAAATTTTCTATCTTTACATGTAAATTGTTTCAGGTGTTGAAAACTTCTTGACTTGTTGATGACTGTTAGCTTCTGAACTATGCTTCATAGTTAGTTATGCAACTATGTACCTCTAAACACAATTAACTCTGAACTAGAATTGTGTTTGGGAAGTCCTTAAATTGAACTCTTCTTAATTACTGTGACAGACTTTTTAAAAGCGTTCATACAAGTGAATACTGGGATAATGCCTTAAAAGGGGCTTTTCTGTTCCTACTGCTGTAACTCCCCATCAGAAAACATAATCATTTTCTCAATTCAGTTTTGCTCAAGAATCTTGATAATTGTTATATTTAACTGCATTATTGTAGTCTTATTAAAAATATATGCCTCTAAGAGCTTAATTTACCAAGATCTGTGTTTCATGAAGGCACAGGAAATAAGAGAAATGGAAATAGATGAAGACACTAAGACACCAGTAATTTAATTTGTGTGTGTGAGGGGGGAGGGGTTGCACATGTAGGTTTTGTGTCTCTTGACTTATTGTAATACATAGCTTATGACAGTCATTACAGAAAATTAATTTCCTTCTACTCTACATTTATTTGTCGCAGTGCTCCGTCATACACAATTCATGTATTAAAGTCAGCACTGATTACAAGCTTTTCTGCAGTAGCTGAGCATGTAATCTGGATTTGCTCTGCACTGTCCATTTTTTGCCCAAGCTGTACAGTAGCGGTTCCGATCTTTACACCCTGCACCTTCATCAGTTCCTGAAACAGCAAAAGTCAATGCAAGGTCTCTGAATACACCAGTCCCTTAACCAAAGAACTGTTTCCAGTTTCATTCCTGAAGAGCATTTACCCCACTCATATCAGTATTAAATCTGGACCAATGAGGACTGATATACAATATATGAGAAGAGATTTCATACTGCAAATGCACTGCATAGGACAAATAAGCGTACAAGACACATTTTGTGAAACTGGTAACATCTTAGGCATCTGAATAAAACAGATGTTCATTGAAATTTCCAGCACATTCTTTTTTAGTAATTTATTCATAAGTTTTTAACCCTCTGTGCTTCAATTTTTTCAGTTCATAGAATGGAGACTTCATAGAATGTTTTTTTGATAATGTGAGATACAAAATCTAAGGAAGTGACAACGTACAGCAGCTAATTGCAATAAACGGAAACCACTGAAGATGACAGCATAAAGGAAGAAATATATTCAGATACTTGTTAGAGAGGTAAAAGTGCAATGATATTGGAAGATAATAAAAAATATATGAAAGAAAAATGTCCCAATATATGTGTGGGGTACAAATGTAACTACATTTGATATTAATTACAGGGATATCATTTCAGAGCCTGCCATAAGTAGACAAGAGATACTTCGACAGTCAATGCAGTACACACGCATTCATTCTTTAGCATATCAACAAACCAGTATGTTCTACATATTACAATTTCTCTTCAGAATCACATCAATAAATTGAACAGCAACTATGAAGCCATCTTATGCATTATGTGCCACTGACCATATTCCCAAGAACCTTTGTAAAATAATTTCATAGCCATGTAGTTGTATTTCCAGACACATTTAAATCATAAACATACCTAATCGACATGAGTGGCAGGCCTGAGGACAGTATATAGTCATGTAGTCTGGATTCTTTGTACACTCTCCCAGTCGTGCCCACTCTTCACAGTTTCTATTATAGTTACCACATTTTGAATCTGTGAAAATAAAACTAAAGTGTGAATTTTTTATTATAGATAACATTAAAATTAGGAAGCTTAAAATGTAAAACTGCCTTTGAATTAAGCAAAATGTGTTTAGGTTTTCTCTTTTCTGTCCTTCAGACAGGAACATTTCCTTAATCGGTTCGCAACTAAATTCATGATGAGCCTATAAACTCTCAAAACTCATAATACCTGCACACCATAAAGAAAATAACCCATTTATTTTCTATACACCTACAACTTTCACCTTCAGTATGTTTCTATATTGTTTGGTGCTTATGTTATAACAATACTTTCTAATATATTGCTTCATATGCGTGTGGAATCTGGTCTTTCTTTTTAAGTAAAGAACATACATTGAAGGTGTTTGTAAACAGGGTGCTGAGAAGAATATTTGGATTCAGAGCGAAGAAGTAACAAGAGTGTGGAGAAATTGGCATTATGATGAGCTTCATAATTTACATTCTTCACCACACAGCAGGAGAACAAAATCAAGGATGATGAGATGGGCAGAGCAAGTAGCATGCACGTGGGAACCGAGAAATGCAGTTGAAAATTCTGATGGGAAGAGACCACTTAGGAGATACAAGTTAAGACAGGATATTATTGAAATGTATCTCAAAGAAATAGGTCAAGAGGATATTATTAAAGTGTATCTCAAAGAAATAGGGTTTTAGAGTGTGCAGTGGATTCATCTCACTCATGATAGGGTCCAGTTGCAGGCGTTTCTGATGACAGTACTGAATTGTTATAAAATGTGAGGAAGTCTTGGCTATACAGCAATTACTAGCTCCTCAAGAAGGACTCTTCTTCTTAAAGTCAATTTCGAAGTTTCCTCTAGGTGTTACTCATTCCCAGCAAACCTGAAACCCAGTCTTTCTAGTTAATCCTTTCTTCACTGACTACAAGGTAAAGACTTATGCCTTAACTTCATCCATGAATTACACTTATTGTACTAAATTCCTTCCCTCCTTCCTTCCTTTTTTCTTTTTCTGAAAATTATATTAATTCAGAATATAATTTTATGTTTACCACAGAGCTTGCAGGACTTTGCACAGTTCACATTCATCCATGCTGGGTTCTTGGTACATTCACCAGCTTTGGCCCAGTACTGGCACAGTTTATTGTTGTTAGAACAGACATCTGTAAGAGGAGTAACACTAAGAGTAGTAGAAAAATGGTGAACAGTTGTGAAGAGTTATGTCTGCTGATGCAGCAAACATTTCTCTGTGAACTTTACATCATAATTTTTTATGTGAAAAAGGTCATGTATAGTTATATGATCATGCTTGATCAAAATCAGTTCATGTTAACTATTATCATTTTGTGTCTCAAAAGCATTTCTTATTTAGAAATTTGGGGGTGTGTGTGGCTTCCAGTTATGCCATGCATGCAACAGGATTCACTGTTTACTTGTTCTGCCTCTGACTGTTATTAGAGCATAATAATACATCTTTGTTAGCATATAACTGTTAACACCAGAGATCTTGAGTGATTGCCAGGAATGCATATATAATACCGTTGAATTTTGGTGTTTAAAAAGAACTGTAAAAATCTCTGCTAGTTTTGTCACCTACATACTTAACAGAGTGTTAATAATATCTTTCTGAAGATGGTCGTTTTGACCAAAACATGTAAAGGATGAAAAATTAAAACACTACTTTTATGTATCACACTGAACTGTGCTTAAAAGTCTGATATACATATAGTTATCAGAGTTTTAAGATAACTGATTGATTTGAATCAAACTCAGTGTATTGGATCTACACTAAATTTTATGAACAAGCTTTGATTTGGGGTTAATTTGGGTAGTTTGAATAACTGTTTTCTTACAACATGAATGTGGCACATATTGTCATGCTGTCTGCATAATCGTGATTTTCACTGTTCTTCTCTTTTTGTAGCTATCTCTGCAAGATCACATTTTACTTTTGGCAGGACTTAATCTTACATAGATATAAAGTACAGTCATATTCACAGTGTCTCATTGAGATTTTGAGCTGAACAGATTATGATTAAAATGCACTATTAATGGGTGAACTCATACTTACAAGGTTTAGATGTTATAGGACCTGAAGGAACTACAATTCCTTTCTGGCACTCATAGAGTTTGTTTATTTTAAGCAGATCAGTCTGAAACAAATAAATGAATATCAGTGCTCCTTTACACTTGTGAAGCTCTTAATGCTTATTATTAGACAAAACACATTTCCGTTTTTGAATGGGGTGAAGTTAAAAAGAAACTGAAAAAGATAATCTGTAGCAACTTAAAATTTTCTGATTTGAAGCACACTCCTTTGAATGTACCATATTTACCCATGTATAGGCCACACATTTTTTGCCAAAAATTCAAGAGGAAAACTGAAGTGCGTCTTATATTCGAAATATTCGAAATCACACTTCATTTAAAAAAAATTATATTCATAATTAGTATTACTAATTTCTACTCCTGAAATAATATTCCAAGAAAATTATTTTTTCTATAATTTCTGTCTGAAAATTGTGCTGCGGCCTATACACGCACGCGGCCTATACATGCGTAAATACGGTATTACTTCCAAAATTAGATAAGGCATTAAATTCCAATTCATTTCAAATTGTATTAGATCACATCTTATAATGACTTCCAGAAGAATAATTATCCGACTATATGGAGCAAATTTCCTCTCATGAAGCTAATAGTTGATCATCTGGTCCAGAAACTCTCAATCTCTTATGAAACCCAAAGGTTCATTACCATGATCACAAGAGCTTGATATTGGTTCCTATCTTGAGGCAGACAGGTCAGTGAACCTTCACAAATATTAAATGAAAAATGTTCTCTAAATATTTATGATGTGTGTGCATGCATGATTTTGATGTGCGAAACATGTTAAAGGGTCATACAAAATAATGTCTTCATTTTAGTCTCTGCAGGTTTATTAAAATTTATTTAATTCTTCATTGTAGTCTGAGATTTTGCATGAGTCAGATTTATTTTGTACACTGTACAATGTAAATTATGTCTGTTTTTTGTTACGTCACCTGACTAGAATAAGTGAAGGGAGGAGGAGGAGGGATGTGAGCAGCAGATGAAGAAGTTGAGAGAGACTCAAGTATTATGAGTATTCACTCACGTGAACATTAATAACATAAACCGGATCTAAGATGTCATAACCTGATGTGTGAATGAGAGAACAGAAACTTTCTCATATGAGATGGATTAAAATAAGATAAGATGGCAGGAGATAATCCAAGGAGAGAGTAGGAAAGTAAAGGGAATAAAAACATTGATTAGTCACACCACATGTACATTGACAAATAATATGCTTTCCTTTGTTGGCCTTCATGTGTATGAAACAGTAAATGTCAGTCAACCTTACAAGGAATATTTCCATTGCTGCATACCACATGAAAGTCAAGTAAATATCAGTCTACTTTACAAGGAATATTACTGCTGTTGCATACCACATGAAGATTAAGATCATGTCAACATAATCATGCATACTTTGCAATTAACAAATGGTGGAATCTGTTTGCAGGCAAGAAGAGAAGGCGAGGAGAAGCAGAAATGCTGTGGCAATATCTTTTAGTGTTCATTAAGTATGATTCTGTACATGAAAAGTGTAATATAATCATTAGGAGTCAATTTGCTTGAAACAAAACCAAGCAACAGTCTGATTTGCTTCACCTCACAACACAACACATGAACAACTCAATCTGTACATGGCAAACAGCAAATAGATTATCAGACAATGGACAAAGTCCAAAAACCCATTAATTCTGAACAAATGGAGTATTTTCTTTTCCTGAGTGTACTTGAAGTTTCTGTGTATACAGTTCAGTTATTATTGCACTTAACTGTGACTATCATGTAACACACGTTACTTAGATTAGTAGTGTTGCCTTTTGAATATTTTGATTTTAATTTTTTCCCCCCCTTGGCACTACAGCCCCAGTGGGCCTAGGCCTATCTCCATGAACTTCTCTGTTCACTTCGGTTTTTCTAGATCTTACGCATACGGTAGGACTCCTTGGACGAGTGATCAGCTCGTCATAAGGCCTCTACCTGTAGACAAACACAGAAAAACGCACACAAACATCCATGCCCTGAGTGGGATTCGAAGCCACGATCTCGGCTTCCGAGCTAGCGAAGACAGTGCATGCCTTAGACCGCTCAGCTACCATGACCGGCACAGAAATTTTTAGAACCATTAATTACCTGTTCTCTTATAAGAAATACAGTTCTCTTTATATTGTCAGTGGGAATGACAGAGGTATACTAGGTGGCTGCTTGTGAAATCAGATGAATTCCATTGTCATTAGTTAACAGTTATATAAATTTTACCTCACTGAATCCTCTTCTCTGACCAATATTTGCAGCAGGGTTTCTAGGTATGATGGTAGGAGAACGATAATCTTTGGAGAAAGCATATCTGCCATAGTGCATCAGAGATCCTAAATAAGAAATAATTTAAATGAAATAGTATCATTTTACATTGTCATGACTTCACATGCCATTTTAAAGTATTATAAACTTATGTGTGAAAAATATTTATTATTAATTGTTTTATTCAGATAGCTTCAGCCAGCACTCTTTTAAAAAATGAGATTTTCAATATGCTCATTTAATTTTAGCCTCAAGTCTGGAACATAAAATGTACCAACAGACATATGGCTTTTGCTTTTTAATAATGTTGCTGATACACATCAATTCCTTTTGGTTTGAGTACCATCATATATGATAAAAAAGAATAGCATTAGTTTTAGACATGTCTTTAAACAAGTCATTCAATGAAGTGTATCAATTTAATGCCATAAGTAAATCAGTGCCAATGTTAGTAATACTAAGCTAGTACAATTAAAGGTAGGAAACGTGTGGAATCCTTAGATTTGTATACAGCTGTGAAGAGATGGAGAAATATCTACAGCTCTTGTAAGCAGTGATTCTCTGGAGCAGATGCATGCACAAACTGTCTGTTTCAAGGATCACACTGTCAAACAATATCAATTTGTCTGAAAGTCAAATTAAGAAGGCCAGTAATGGATTTTGTTGCAATGACATGCCAGTGACTAAGGCTGTTGTTATTATTTGTAATTTTACCATCGAAGAATTTCTTTTGTGGAAAAGTCTGAAGAGAATGTCAAACAGTTTTTATATAAACCATCTGTCATTTAAAATAAATTTAAAATAATTCAAGGAAAGAAGTGCAAAAAAACTCATTTAAGTTAGTTTTGGTTCCTTACTGGGATGCCAAGCATTTAAAATCAAGCAAGATTCTTCTTGTTGTCTTCTGATGGTTAAAAATGAAAGCGTCATTTGTAAGGAGGTTCCTTTTGTGTTCATTTATTCTACTTCACCAGTGACAGCCCTTGATTATAAAACTATGTTTCTGAACAGTCATGTCCAAAAAGCTGACATCTACTGCAGATCAGTCCTTTGGGAAACAATATATAGAAGTTCAGCAAATCTCACTCTTTAAAATTTTTCACTATACTGCCCTGAAGGTTGACACCTATCTGCTGAAAAATGTATTCTACATTTGTATTCAGAATCAGAAGGGCCATAGTTTTCCAGTGAAATGCACACAAAGGTTGATGTATGATATGTCTTTTTGACACAGTGGAAAATTAACATGTCCATGGTTTATGCTGACCGTCTTACAGTGTATACACTTTTTCACCTTATTATTCACTTCCACACTAAATGTTTCAGCACTAATGTGCCATCTTCAGGTGTCTTTATGCACGTTAAACTATTGTACTGCATGCCATAATGTCTTCATTCTAAAATGGCTAAAATCTGTATTCATCATATACGACGATGAATTCTAAATAATAAACTTTTCAGGATTCTTCCTATGTCGCACTCAAACACGCGAATTATGCCAATCCTCTTTTATGTGAGCATTCTTCCTACATACATTTGTGTATCGTGTTCTGTGTTGTGTTTTGCTCCTGTTACTGCATGTGTTGGCATGCAGTAACCTTAGCAGCACATTAGTGCTGAAACATTTAGTGTGGAAGTGAAGAATAAGGTGAAAAAGTATATACACTGTAAGACAGTCAGCATAAACCATGGACATGAATCAGTGTAACAGGACGCTAAAATATAACATTGAAAATCAACATCCTTACCAGTATCATATGCAACTCCAAGACTCTGCATCACACGCCAACCAAATTTTTGAAAATTATGTTCTGTTCCTATGAAAAAGAGAAAACAAGATTCTGACATTGAAAGATTTTCTGCCTAGTATTTGCATACACATGTGCAAATGTGTATGTGAAATTATTGCAGCAGTGTCTGGATGAAGATTATAAAGAGATGGGCAATAAATGGTTACTACTTTTATGGAAAATGTTTTGCATTTTAATTTACATGCAGAGTTACAGATGCACATCTTCTGTTTTATTCCTCTTGTTGCTGATACAAATTGACATATCTGAATGTTGGGTGTACTGCATGCATGCACACGTCTTTTATTATGTAAAAGTAGTGACTTTGTATGAAAAGGAATGCCTGCTTACCCGGCATAATATTGTTCCAGAGAACTGTAACGTAATTATCACGGTCTCCACGACTCTGCTCATGCCAGAAACCACAAGCGTGCATCAGCTCATGCTCCACAATGCCCTTGTACAAGCACCCTGGTCCTAGTGACACTTGCTGTCCACCACCAGAATGTCCAACAATACTGCTGCAGCTGAGAGGCAACAATGAACAACCCATTAACAGCATTATGCATCTATGTTCAATGTAAGATATGAAATTCTCACAGCAGTGGTTATGAAAAGTTTTATTTTCATGTATGTTCAAGTTCATATAAACTATACTTTCTTGAATACACTCTCTGTCCGTCTTCTGCAGCTGCTGAAATGAATTAAGCCTAATTTCTTTGAAATTATGTCATTGACTGAAATTTCTCTATTGCTTATCCTCTGGCTCAGATTTTGACAGAACACTTGCTGCTCTGAGCTACTGCATGGCTTATTCATCTTGTATGGAAATCCATCAGTGTTTCTTATTTCCTTCACATAGCATGAATGTAGACATGAAGATGATAGTGTCTAATTTACTATAGTCTTTGGTAGACTGATGAGTGACTGAGTTGTAGGAGTTAGTACAATAGATAGTGCAAATTAAAATGGAGGAATAGTTCAGAATGTTGTAAAATATATTACAGAAATAGGAAATTATTTTTTTGTATTGGTAACAGAGTGTAGCCAAACAATGTTGCAACCACCTTGCTTACTGCTGCTGTAAGAAATGAGTATTTACTTACTTACCCAGACCCTTTAAGGAGGTGTACATAGTCCCACTGAGTTGTACGAGGGACAAACCTTACGCAGGTGTAAGCATGGAAGTCAAGGACAGCTGCAGCAATCACACTCCTTTCATAGAGGCCTGAAATTATGTTATGAAAGTCACAAGGATATTACAAAGTAGACCCAAAGATTGTGGGACAAGAATCTGGGTGGTGTAACGTTTTTCGGGCATGATAAAGTCATTTAATTACATTGTATAAAGGTGGGATTTCAGTTTGTTGCCTGAAGTTTTAAAGTTTGCTAAACTTTTTTAATACTTTTAATTACTTCTTCGCAGTACTTCAAATTTCAAATGGACTTCATTATAATGTAAAATTTTGTGATAAGGATTCTATGTTTCTTGTTACCACCTCAGCTCCACAGTAATTAACAGCAATGAAAATTACTTTCAAGCATTCTAAAAATATGTAATTACTTGTAAGTATACAGAAGCACAGACCTTCAATATCTACATACAGAGGTGAGCCTTGCCCAACTTATTTCAATGAACAAGATGCAGAATCAGATTTCAGATTTTCAGTGAACTGAAGATTTAGTTTGTGATCTTCTGTGTTATGACACTGTGTAATCTGGTAGAAGGTTGCCATCATTTCACAGAAACATGCTACCTCCATTTTCAGGGTAGATTCTTTAAAAATGGAGTCAGCATACTCCTTTGAAACATTGGTAACTACCCACAAGACTTTGTAGTGTTACGAATCAGAAGACCACAGTCTAAAACAATCCTACTCTAAGCAGTAATTTTGAAAAATGCATGTTGACAAACTGTGACAATTTATTGAGTTCTCCACATGTAGGGTTACTGTTAAAGCAAAAAGTTTCTGTTATATGTTGATCATGTTTTGTGTGAAATTGTCAATAAATATTGAGTGCACCTCTATTACCACCTCTGTTATTGGCATATCTGTTGCTGTTGATTTTATGGTGATGAGAATGACAGCAATTAGGATTATTTATGATAGCAGCTGTATTGCTGATATTATTGACTGTAATTCTGATAATGCCATATATTCAACCAGCATCACACTTCAGGAATAAAAAATATGAATTATAGCAAGTATATACAGAGTAGTTTAAAGTGATTCTTATTATGCTTTAAGGTAAAGTTAATGTAATATGTTGCTACTTACTGAAAGAACTTGATATTACATAAGGAATTATGCCTCCTGGCCAACGCTTTCTTAAGTCTCTGATGGCATTCTTCTCAAATGAATTGAAATCAGACATATTGACACCAGCAATGTCACCCTCGAAGAGGCCAGCAGATAGGATAGGATCTGGGGAATCTTCATCTTGTGGCGGAACAAGAATTTCTGTAACATAAATTAATATAGATAATTAATTTGTGATTTTAAAGCAATATTTTCAATTCATTGTAGAAAATTCTATAAATGAATATGTTAAAGAACTCAAAACTAAAACAAAACACAAAATAAAATCTGAATTAAGTAAAAACAAATACTAGCTTATATTTACATATGTCTCCTTCACTTAATTTCTTTTTTATTTTCTACACGTCTCACTTTTCTCCATCTGCTTTTCTTTATCACAGGTTCTTTCAGCCCACATTCCATTTGGATTTATTTTCACAAGCTGTACCATTCAACGGTGGTATGGAAGTCACAATAGTCTTGTTTCTTCCTCTTTTCCTCCAACCTCGGAACACTAATAGCTTTCCCCCCTTTTCCTCCATAAGTAACATGAGATTGTGGCGTTATGTACACATTTTTACTTATTTTAAGATAATTCAGGCGTGTGCTCAAGACATACGTGAAATTCCAAAGACAGGCCATTTTAATACGAAAGCACAGATTTCTTTAGACAGCCTGTCCCACAAAATTTTGTTCTGAAGGTGATGTGTGTTTGAGTCCAAGAACCTAGAGGCTACCAAGAAAAATAAAAATATTTTCCAAAGCTACAATACAAAATTTTCTGCATGAGGACACTATGCATGTGAAAAGGTATTTACTCAGGACATACCATAGAGTACATTCCATACATAGAACTGGCCAGCGGTCTGTTCCCCTGTGATTCGGTGTAAACATGTGAATATATACATACGCTGTTACAGATAAGTCGGTACTTCCCCCAAAGCTGATGAGTCAGTGTTATGAGTCGATCTCGCGTCAACCGTACATCGCACACTTCGACACTAAATTCATTAACATTTGCGAGGTACAGGTATAAGATATAAAGTTGTCCGTGTGCGTAACTAATTAAGCACTACTCCATTAAGATGTATGGGGGAGTAGATATATAGATCCAGTTATTCTTAATCTCGCCTCTAGTTGAAGGCGAGTGGTCAGGTTCACGCCGCTTCCGCTTTTACTCCCAAGGAAAGAGCCTCCGGCACCCATTTGATAGGAGGCTGAATGGGCCCCGTGGTCGGTCTGGATGTTATGGATAAGAGAAAAATCTTGTGCCCCTGCTGGGAATTTAACTCCTGCCTTCCATCCCATAATCCGTCGCTATGCAGACAGTCGTACACCGGCTCATAAGTACCGTGATATTATCTTAAAATATGCCATAACTACACACGTTTACATCCTTTCCAATTGACTCCGACAACATTAAATCTCACTTACGTATATCTGCTCCATACTATGAAGAACTGTTAGAAATGTGAGATACACTTAACTTCATGGATAATTTAGTGTCGCACCACGAAATAAGGTACGTCACGAAACTGAATAGATTTACGTTGTACTACAGCATTCTCAAAATGTTGATACTGCTATCCCCTAAAATATTATATAATTTATGCAACCCCCACCCGCTTAAGATGCTCACCCAGACGCTGATTCGTCCATATCTCAGCAGGCATTTGTTTCTGCATATATGTTGACTGGGGTCGTTTATCCTAGGCTTTTTGAACGTTTTCGTAACAAGCTTATGTTTTACCGTGAGGAGTTGTTAGCCCCAAGCTGGAGGACCATCCCTTGTCGGCTGTCCACGACTGCTTATTCAATATATTCGAGGCTTCTCTCCTTACCTGGAGGGCGTCTCCATAACTTGTACTCTTCTCCAAGTATAATTAGAATTAGGTCAAGGAGGATGACGAAGGCGGGGCATATAGCACGAATGGGAGACAAGAGGAATACGTATAGGATATTGGTAGGAAAGCCAGAAGGAAGGAGACCACTGTGAAGACCAAGGCGTAGGTGGTTGGACAATATTAAAATGGATCTGGGAGAGATAGAATGGGACGGGATTGGATTGATTTGACTCAGGATTGGGAACAGTGGAGGGCTCTTAACACCGTAAGGAATCTTCGGGTTCCATAAAATGCTCGGAAGTTCTTGAGTAGCTGCACAATTGGCAGCATCTCAAGAAGGGCTCAGCTCCATGAGTGAGTGAGGGGTCATTTATCTCGTTCGAGTACCATACCCCGTTAAAGTCTGTAATCCTTTTTTTTAACACCCTCTATAGATAAATATAGATAATCGATAGCACCATCTGTAATTCGACGGGAAGAAGAGGCGAAACTTAACAGTTTCCTTCGTCTAGAATTTCAGTGTGTGTGTGTGTGTGGGGGGTGGGGTGATGTGCCCCCCCCCACTCCCCCCAAGTTCTAGCAACAACACAGACACAGGAGAGAAAGACTTCGAGGCTCAATAAAGCAGTATTCTTTCTCGGAAACGTTTACGTATGTTCATCAAATTACTGATGCGAAATGCCGTCTCACACAGATGGTGCCACTTGTGAGGAAGAAACTGGGTTGTTATAGTGAAGAGCTGTGTTGCTCCTCTAAGGGCCCTTCCACTTATTTCGGCGTCTCTGTAGGGCTTGAAGAAGCGGAATTTATTGTCAGAGTCACAGGAAATCTACAGTTTCTTTAGTAGAATCATCAGAAGAATTTCCACCATGTCAAAAAAAAAAAACATCGTCAAAGGACGAAAAATGTGTAAGATCTCTCTCCTTCGAAATGTGCTTAGACGAAGCTTTAAGCTTTTAGTTGTGTTCTGTGCTCTTAAGCCGTTAGTGACAGGAGAAAAGGGCCTTATAAATGCAGTATTAAGAAAATATTGTGATCGCTTAAAAATGTCTGCATATAGATCGCAAGTCTCGGAATATCACTTTGTTGTCATCATGAACTGAATCTTAGTGTTTCGTCTCGGACTAGCCAGGCACATTCTTCTGTACTATTAAGGCTATCCATGTCCACGCACACACCGGCTATTTCTATAAGATTTAGTTTAATATTGTATTTACGTCTATGTTTAGGTATTGAAAATTATCGCTTCCATATATACTTCACAGCTAAAACTTTGTATGCACTTCTTATGTCTCCCATGCATACTACATGCCTCGCCCATATAACCCTCTTTGATTTGATGTCCGTAATAGAAACTGTACACTTTTCGCATCCTTCTATTTTTCTGGTTCTCTTGGGTCAAAATATCCCCCTCAACTCTCAGTTCCATTTCTAAAGCACTCTCCATCTGTGTTTTCTGACATGATGGGAGACCAAGATTTACACTTAACAGTGACGTGGCCAAAGTTAAGTAAAAGAGAATTACGTCTTAGATTGGCGTTCATATCAAAATCCACAATTAGTCAAAATTTTCCGCCGAACACACTTTGGGTCGGATCGGGTAAATTGAACGGCCATTCTTGGTTTCGAGTCCCACAGGACTCATGATCATATTTTACTGTCTCACGACTATGGGCGCCCTGCAAGTCTGACCCCCAAACTAACTCGACTGACTGGTTGCTAAATTGCTGCTGGCCCTCGCCAGCAAAATGATTCTTGGCTCCGATTCGCATTAGACTCATGACCATATTTTACTGTCTGACGGCTCTGGGAGCATTTCTGTGTAACGTCTGTCCTGCCCAGTCCAGTAAATTGTTGCTGGCCCTCGTCAGAATAGCCGTTCTTGGATTCGGTCCCCTCGGAACCCATGACCACATTTTTGTTCTTTCCAACCTTTACGTGTTATGAGACGTTGATATGTTCTGGAATGGCAGGAATGGGTAAAATATTCGCTAGCAAGAAGTGTAGAAACTGAGTTCCTTCTGTCATGACAGACAAGTATTTTGAAAATTCGAATCACATCTTGGGTACCGATATGTTCGTTGCTGCTTCAATTTCGCTGCAAGGGTCGAATTCCGCCTTCTGACTGTAGTGTATCTACTCATATATGCGAGACCAAAGTGAGAGGAGACACGTATGCATCCATAGAATTATATTTTGAGTTTTAGTGATAATGCGATATCACTGTAACATGTGTACAACGCGCGCAGCCAAAGAAGAAGGACACATCACAAGACACAGTATATACAAAATATAGGAAGAACGACTCCCATAGCGGAAGAATAATATAATATGCGAGTTTGAAATAAGAAGTATAAGATGATAAATCTTAACAAATTTTAATATATATAAATTTTATTATAGTACATGAAGACTATACATTTTAAATCATTTTATAAACGACACATGATGGCGAGCAGTGCAATAGTTTAACGTAAATAACACACCTGAGGATGGCACAGTGATGCCGAAACATGTAGTGAAGTGACATGTGAGAGTGTGTGCACTAGAGGACGGTCAATACATATATATCATAGATGTGTAACAGTGTTTCCAAATTTCGTTTGGCCGCCGAAACTTTTCGCACTGGGACATATTTGCGGAACCGTTGGTAAAGTTCTTACAAATTAAACTAAAGTAATTAGACCACAAATAAATAAGGACAATAATAAATTACTCTTAAACATATTTAAAAAAATCTGATTCCATATATACGAAAAATGAAGATTAAAAATGAATGTACCACATATTTGCAACTTTTAATGCCAACAGCAATTTCTGACTCTCCGTGTAAATTACTTATACGTGTATATTAGCGTGATACTGGAAAGTTGAATTCTCAAATATGGTGTCCCATTAATAACTTTCTGTATTTATTGTTGTTACTATGTTATGTGACGGCCGGTCACAGTATTCGCGCTGTCTAAGGCATGGACTCCCTTCGCTCGCTCGGACGCTGGGATTTGGGGTTCAAATCCTACTCTAGGCATAGATATTTTGTGTGTATATGCGTTAATTCTGTGTTTGTGTTGTTCTGCGTTTAGGTAGAGGCCTTGTGGCGAGCTGATCACTCGTCCAAGGAGTCATGCCATCTGGAAAATGATTACGGAACTGAATAAGAGGCCAGGGTCCTGACTGGGCTGGAAGAACCATTGATTAAAAAACATGTAATTCGAGAATCAAGTTCCGCACAAGTGTGTGCTGGCAAATTGTATCAGGTGACAAGCTGCACGTCTTCATGAAACTTTTTCTTTTGAGGCAAAAACACGGTATATTTTACTAATTTATTCCGTTGAAAGTGATATTTATAATTAAAGGAAGCTCCAAAATGGAAAGAAACTTTCATAATAACAACATTTAAATTATCATTTTTTATGCTTAAAGATTTTTTCGCTCGTTACCCTGATTTTCATTTCGTGGAACCCCTGAGATCCGTGGAACACCGATTTATAGCACCTCTGCACATTAGTCTTCAAGAATCAGTTTTAAACAAATAACCAGTTAAAATCATTTTCTATCCTCTTTATATGAGACTTGAATAGTTCTGAGCTGTGAGCACAGAATTAACTAATCACAGTTATAATGAGCAGCCACTAGTCTCTCCAATGTACCCTTGTAAATCAAGGATCAGAAAAAAATGCGTGTAATTAATTGGAACAGAATTTGTGCCTACTGTGACAGCTTGAGGGCGCGTTCGTTCTCAAAGCGCTGTCAGTGTGGTACAGCGGGAGTCAGGGGTGAGGCGTATCTCTGAACGCACCACACGCTGCCTTCTGTCCTATGACTGTAGTCGCCCCGTTGAATATGATAACATTAAAATGATGACATTTGCTAGTGACCACAAGCTGGTTCTTTCTATGTAGACTTGTCACGATAAAACTAAGTAATTCGTAACTATGAATAATAACCGGTAAATATATAGAATTACCAAAAAATGCAGCATGTCTGCTGAAAGCCAGCAGAGACAGCCGTAGCTAGGGAACGGCTCTGTAAACATGTCCGTTACTAGGCAATGGTTCAGTAGCCGTCACTTGATGGCCGCATCAGACACTAACGCAACAACAGAAGAGCTGTTGTAAGCGGTGTTTTCTGTGCTGCCATTACCCATCAATCCGAGTTGAGTCCGAGTCTAGATTGTAGACAGTCGAGTCAAGGGAGAGCCTACAGGCAGTCAGTCGAGAGTCACAGTTATGAGAAGTGAGAAGCTGGTAGCTGAGAACAGGGACATTTCGGGAACTCACTGGAAGGGTAACGTCCGCTGTTGGAAGTCGCTACGAAGCAACGGCAGTGACCGTGACTGAGAACATTAGTCTGTGTGTAATAGTGATCTGAGAAGTTTAATCACGAGCTCTAAAATTGTCCAGTAAATCCAGTCACCAATCGTAACCCCGTCTATAATCACTGAAACACGTGACATTAATAACCGGTAATTACCCATGATTACCGGTAAATGTTATTGTCAGTAGATTTATCAGATTTACAATTGCTTTGGTAAATCTGTATAATTACCATAATTTCTTATTTATTCACATATACCGTAATATGTGCTGTACACATGATACGTACATAGCGATGCACTGATGATCCGTGACAGTATTTAGACTATGCCAGTTCACAAATTCTAGTTATCGTTATATATGTATATATATTTACAGATCGTAAATATAACACTACCGCCATTTCCACACTTTACAAAATGGCGTTAAGTCTTTTCCAGCCCACAATAATCGTCTTCTTCGGGTCTCAAGTCCTGTCTGAACGGCGGCTCCCTTCAACACTCTTCCAACTGTCCCTTTCTTTCACAGACTCGCGTACAGAACTGACTTGGTTGCCCCAGTTGTCTTCCTTATAGCTCTTGGGCACGGCCCGTGGAGATAACACCACTTATTTTGGTATTCTGTTTATTAAGAATCTGCTGCCTAGCAACGGACTTCATTTCTTTGCCTGTTTCGCGGCCGTTGAATAGAAACGAATATTGTTTCAGAGCCTTTCGATAGCAACGGCTGTTTCTCTTTCTCCACGGTTCTTGCTTTGAGCAGATATGCCACAATACGATATATACTGTGTTGGTTCTGACAGAGGCTTGCTTTAATTAAGCATTATACTCTAGGGAAAGTCAAAGCAGGAACACAGAGGTAAGGAGTTTGAGTGGCCGGAAAGACAGTGAGAGCAGGGAACAGCCTGTCTCTTTCAGAAGTCGAGTCTACCCTTCTCTGTTACACTCCAAGGAGAACGAAGGCAGAATCATAACGATGAGATTTTGAGGCAACCGGAAAAACAGTCACAAAAGAGAATCATTCGAATTGCCGTTTCCTTGTAGATTTCGACTCATCCTTTCTCTGTCACCGCAGGATTTGCTGGAGTGCGCCCGAGGCAAATAATGATAAGCTTATGAAGTTTCTAGAGGTTGTTCTAGACACTCAGAAATGTGAGAACGATAGAGTTTGTGAAAATACTCTTTACCGTCGTTATCATGACAAAACTAATTACACAGGGATTTTCTTAGAGAGCGACGCCATGAAGCAGACTTACGCGCTGTGGGTTGACCTGACATAAACGTAGGAGGGCCTGACTGGGGACTAGCAAAACCTTCCCTGCATTATTTCGGTGCAGAAATATCCCTTTCTTTAAATGGACTGCCACGCTAAAATACAGCCGGGTTAGCTCAGTTGGTATAGCGACTGGCTGCGGGATAGATGACCAGGGGATCGGAGTTTGAGTCCCGGTAGAGTCCAGAATTTTCTCTTCTACACGTCGTTCAGTTCCGCTCTGAGGCCTAACCAATGGGTACTGTGGGCTCTTTCCCCAGTGATAAAGCGGCCGGGGTGTGAAACTGACCATTTACCTCCAACTAGTGCCGAGGTCAAGAAAATGTGGATCTATATCTGCATTCCCCCATAAGCCTTCATGGCCTACTAGTTAAGCACAGGAACGACTTTAACTTATTGCAGATAAAATTTGGAAACAGGTCTAACACACTCAGTCATAATTGTTTTCCGGGTTCAGATTTTCAGTATTGACTGTGGGCTAGATGAACAAGCCAGAAATTTCTTTTTCACTACTATGCAGAAACCGACAATTGGATCCATCGAGGGATGCCTGTTTCTGTTTCACATAAGGCAAAACAGCCAGAACCTGAAGATGGCCGATTACTTCCATTAGTGCATGAAGCGTTTCCTCCATTCTTCCTACACACCTCCATAGGCACAGGAAATATTAACTTTGAAAATTAATGAACCTAACATAAATCCCTTCAACCTATGCAACCTAGCTTCTCTCGGCTGCCAAGAGGATTAACATCTAACTTTCTCAATTACTACTATAATTATGGAACAGTTACAAAATTTGTTATGATTTTAGGCTCTTCAGTTAGTATGTTTGTTGTTGTACACACTTTCCTCAATAATGGCTCTAATACGTGGTAAATCGAATTCACTTTAATGTCATTTGTTAGTTTTCGGACTGTGGAATTTTTCTACTACTACTACTACTACTACTACTACTACTACTACTACTACTACTACTACTACAGCAACACCGATTGTGAATATTCATGTCTTGGCAAAATGTGGATGTTGCTTACCCAGGTTTTCAGCATTTTCGAAGTCTTTGGGCGTTAATGGTTCTCCGGGCACTTGTTTCTCCTGAAAAAGGTGGAAATTATTTGTGAAAAAATCCTCCTTATTGAAAAGTAGTTGTCAGGAGCTTTACCGCGAAGTTACCAAAATTGGTAGTTTATTTGGTTTTAGTTTCTTGGGGTGGGGTGAGACTGGGTCTACTTGGTACGTCGGCCACTAATTGACCTATTGTACCTCGCCAATTATAGATGATGAATATGGAGCAGCCGGGTGGATGATAATTGACAGGGGAAAGCGAAGTACTTGGAGAAAATCTGCTCCAGTGCCACTTTGTCCGCCACATATCCCACATGATTTCAATTAGTCTGGAACCCGGACTGCCGCGGTGGGAAGCCGGCGACTAACCGCCTGAGCTATGGCGCGGTCTCAACTTGATAGCTTACAGTAATTTGGGGACAGGTAAGGTAATATATATGTTCTTAGTTTTGATTGCGCCCATACTCGGAGCTGTGGCACACATAAGAAAGTTGCATGATGGGTATAGTTGCCATAGTGTCTAGAGCAATACTTAAAAACTGGCTTCTTCTTGGGTAGTGGGGATACTGGATGAGGGAGATAGACTAACAGTGGTACCAAGATTTCGTATAAGTTGTATTGTTATGATTTTTCTGTATACAGAGGAACCTGATTTCACGTCCATTTATGAATTTTGTAAAAACGATGCAACGGGACTCCACTGCACGAGGAATGAAGCGAGACTCCTTGCAGTGGAATCAGAATGACGAATAAGATTGATATTTCTGATGCTATGGCCGAGGTAATTCGCACAGAGATGCCTCCTATGCCATTTCTTGAGAATGAAAGTGACGCAGACTACAATATAAGTAATAATAAAATGTGCAATAATTCTGACTTTATCTGTCGTCACCCAAACATTATACATACAGCAACAGCTGCTGAGGAGCATCTGCAGTCAGCTTCATGTTCAATGGCAATATACGCATGCGCCTTAGCCTGAATTTTGAATTACAGCACGCCATTTTAATAAAGACATATTCATTAAATATAGTTTCATAGCATCAATTCTTCGTCTGGAGGTAACTCTATGGAGACGTTCGTTTCGAACATCGGCAGGGAAACCGACTATCATGTCACAGGTTTTTATTGTCTTTCCTCGGTTTCTTCTAGGAATAGTGCCTCAACCAATTACGCTACCGCTTGTCCCTTCTGCAAAAAGTAGCTGTTGAACTAAACATATCTTTATCAACCGACCATAGAGACGTGACATAATTCATTCTTATTCATTTAATTGTGTCACTAATGTGAAGACACTTGGTACCATTCCCTGTTCAGCTTGAGGATTATAAAAGTGAATTTATCAGGTGTGCTGACGGTGATATTTAAGTATGACAAGTAAATATAATTCTATATATTCTTAGTTAATTTTAAATATAAATACGGTCACATATCAGGTGTTGTGTGAGTTATCACAGTCAATTTTGGGACATGTTATTTTCATTACGTTGAACATCTGTACCGTTACGAGTATTAAGGGATGGAATGAACAAAATTATTAAAAGAAGTGGGACAGTATTTTTATGTTTAACTTGTTTCATTCTGGTCCGTCACACTAACAGTATTATAAAAGATTAATTAATTCCGTCCAGTGTGACTGATGGTTTTTTCTTTTTAATCTTTTAACCGTTACATGATCGAAACTTGTAAAGGATAAAAGATTAAAAAGAAAAAACCATCAGTCACACTGGACTGAAGTAATTAAACTTCTGTTGTATTTTTATATATCAATCAAAACATTAACAAAAGTCATGTTAAAATTCAAAATGCTACAGATACATCATACCGTTAATGCTCTCTGCAAATATGTAGCTGTTAATAAGCCACCGTTTATGGGATTTCTGCATTGAAATCATCCCTGTTATATCACAGACTTTGATGACTTACCGATTCTGGGATTCCTGTTGGTAAATCGACAAGTGGCTCACTTGAAACCGCATATGTGTCCACTACTCGACCATCGTATGTCTCCCCACTCGCAGGCATGTCTTGCAGTAGGTTCCCATAATCGTCAGTATATTCTGTAAGATCGTCATATCCAACTTGCAGCAAGGAACTCTGCAGTATAGCTGGAATATCACTGTCCCGTCGCCAGTATCCAGGTGTAGTCTTCTCTTGGTCACGCCTGTCACTTCTTTCCTCAATGTAAGGCACTGCTAGTGGCGGTTCAATTTGTGCTACATCTGGACTGTAGGGACTGCGCGAAAGGTAATAACTTTGGACGGATGGCGAAAGTAGCATTGCAAGTGCCATAAAGTTTATAGTTGTAATTATGTATTTCACTTCCGGTCGTTTAATTTCCATTGTAATTTTTCGTGCTGTATCTGTTAAGTGCTGCAATAGGAACGATTTCAAACTTGAGTAATTAAATGATTTGTATGAAAAATTATAATTACATAGACAGATCTATTTCAACTACTTGGGGGCACGTGGTAGCGTAGTTGGTTGAGAAACTATGCTATAAGCCGGAAGGTCGCGGGTTCGAACCCCGATGAGGTCATTTGATTTTTTTCAATTGATCTAATCCTTCCAGCCGCACTATGACCCTGGGGTCGACTCAGCCTCCAACAGAAATGAGTACCAGGAATATTTTGGGGGGTAAAGGGTGGCCGGCGCGTACGGCTGACAACCTCACCGCCATCTGTGAACCGATTGTCTAGAAAATGTGGGAACCTCAACATCTCACAACCTATGGGCCTCCACGGCCTGGTACAGGGATACCTTTACTTACTTACATGTATACCTATTGCTAGGCAATGACTCAGTAAACGCATTACCGCGAAGCGTACACGTGCAGCAGAAGGGCGTCTATTGTTAAGTAACGGACCAGTAAATATGCCTCCTTAATAAAGGAGGCTGTGTTTCCTGTGTGGCTCGTGCCGAGGGGTTACAAAAGGACACAGAAGACGCGACCAAGCAGAATAGAGTACAGCAAAGAAGATTGGTCGGGAGTGGGCAGACGAGTTTTCGGAATTGGCAGTTGCAGAAGAAATGGCAAGAGAGGAATTAGACTGTGACAAGAAGACTTCATGTGTGATTTCTATAATAAATCCGTTGCCAGGATATGACTAGTGACGACTGAGAACCCTAGTGCGTGTGTAACGGTGAACTGGAAAGTGTGTAGATCAGCGGGAGCGCTGTATTGTCTCTAGTTCCGAGTTGTGAATATATAGGGTGAAACAAATCAAATCATCCAATCCAGAACCCCGTCTTATAAGTCACCCCTACACGTGACAGTACGTACCACTAATCAACAGAACGTTCTATGTATTCTAAGTATTTGTGAAAATGATCTGCTTGCATGAGGATAGTGTATACATTCTGAATGCAACCTCAGCTCAAGGCAATGGACAATGTCTATGCAATATTCTTACATCAGACAAGATACGGCTCATAAATACAAAATAGACAGGTTATTCATAACCGTCAATCCATTCATTTGTTCATTTATTCTCATGTGTGTCCCTCCACATGTTCTCCGTTCTATACATCCGTTCTCTTCATCTGTCCCAGCCATTCATCCGTAAGTTAATCAACATTCACATTGGTTATCCTTTCATGCACACATCCACCCGTTCTTCTGCCCACACATTCGTCAACCCGCCCATCTGCACAGACTTGATTCTAGGAGAGTATGAATGTATAAATGCAAGACTATTTAATAATATCAAACGTAACATAATAGTAAAGATAAGAAAAGTAAAAAAAGTAAAGCTATCCATGTAACAGGCCGTGAAGGCCCATAGGGTTGTGAGATGTTGAGGGTCCCACATTATCTAGACAATCGGCTCAAACATGGCGGTAAGGTTGTCAGCCTTACGCTCCGGCCGTGCTTTACTCCCAGGAAAATTATTTGATTAATTCCTGGAACTCATTTCTGTTAGAGGCTAAGTAAACCCCAGGGCCTAGTGCGGCTGGAAGGATTAGGTCAACTGAAAAAATCCAATGACCTCATCGGGACTTGAACCCGCGACCTAAGATAAAGTTGTCTCTGTGCTTAATCAATTAAGCACTACGCCATGAAGGCGTAAGGGGGAGTGGACGTATACATCCACATTTTCTTGATCTCGGCACTAGCTGGAGATGAGTGGTCAGCTTTACACCCCTGCCCCTTTAGCCTCAGGGAAAGAGCCCCCGGTACCCGTTGGATAGGAAGCTGGATGGGCCCCAGAGCCGGTCTGGACGCCGTGGAGAAGAGAATATTCTTGACCCTACCAGGACTCGAACTCCGACCCCTCGTTCATCCAACCCGTAGCCAGTCCTTATACCGACTACGCCATCCCGGCTCCTAACATAATAATGAGATTTTATATGTCTCTCAGTGAGCTGTGTTTATCTGATGACATGACTCCTATATGAACCCAGTCGTCAGTGTGTATGAGACTTACCAAAAATCAAATGCCAACACTTTACTGCGTGAGCTTCGTCCGGCACTACGGGAGTTCATGAGTTGCGTTCAAATTTATACATCGGGCGGTAGGCAGGTGTCTTTGCATTCGTATTTAACTTACCACTAGATGAGAAAACCGGATATACTCAATGACCCTTACAAGCAAAGCATGCTTCTCGTGGAAAAAAAAAATGCTGTGCAATATTATTTTACCCTGTTCTACTTGCCATATTGGCTACAACCAGAAGACCTGCACAGAGGCCGGATTTAAGGGGGGGGGGATACTGGAGCGGTAGCCCCGGGTTGTCCATAAAGCAAAAATAGGATTCACAGACTTTATAGAAACATTTGCTTCTCGAAAATCACGACAAGTTAATTTGTATTTGTGATAAAAATTTGTCGTAACCTAAATTTATTTTTATCGAATGAGGCTTCCATATTTTGATTGCCTGGGGCCACACAGCTGTAAATCTGGCCCTGGATCTGACATGTATTGGAATTTATTTCTCAGTAACAAGTCGTGAAAGGTGTGTGTTTAAGATTCGCACGGCAAATATTGGAAAATTTACTAAAAGTGGGGCGGGTTCTCTCCGAGTATTTCGGTTTCCCCTGCCAATTTTCATACCACCAAATTCTCCATCGTCATAATCACCGGGGCAGGCTACAATAGGCCAATCAGTGACTGCCGTGCCACACCCCACTAAGCGAATTAAAAAAAAAAAATGTAGGTTCCATCTTTAGGGTCGAGTAGCAAGCCAAACAAGAAACCAACAGCAAGAATCATATAACTTCGGTACTGACTGCATAGAAAACGCTTCGTTGTTTAGCAATGGCACATTTCCTCTACTGTTTGCGCGTGCATTCATTATCGCGGAGAGGTGTTTCCCATGCCGTTGCCTAGCAACTACCGACTCTTCTTGCTCCACTATTCTGGTTTCAGCCCTCATGTTGTAATGTTGTATTTTTGCTTTACTTCATTGTCCTATTGTTTATCGTTGGCTGCAAAGCAGCCGCATAAAATTAATTCAGGTCCTCCGGAATACATGTCCGGTTCATTCCATGTGAAGTCATCCAGATAGGTCACTCCACCATTTTTAATTGTATTTTGTACACTTATTTCTACATATTTTCATACTTCAAAATATTTTTTACAAAATTTTAATCCGCTCGGTTCTCCCGGTACAGCCGTTTTTATAATGCGAAAAGAACGCGTTTTCGGCTGAAATGGAGGTTTGCGTTATCTTCTGTATCTCGATAACTGTTGATGCTAGAGACTCCAATAAAACCCAATTTGTTCCTCATGATATTGACTACAATTCATGTTATTACAAGGTTTTACTCAACTCACTTCCTTTAGGTCTAATTAAGCTTGAAACTTACCTGTCGATTTTGGGAAAAGGGATATTTTTGACCTTCATAAACCAAAACGAGGGGAAATTGTCAGATCTGTGGTTTTTACCATTTGTTGTTACCTACATGGGGAATATAATCACGTAGGTTGAACCCCGTACCTAGTTTCAAAAATTTTCCAGGAGTTTCCAAACTTTGGTCTGGGCCCAAAATCGACCATTTTTAACATCTCATATCTCCGGTGGGGAAATTCCGAAATTTTTTAAAATCATAGCAAATAATGCTCTATTCTAGAGTAACTTGGAGTTAAAATTACAACTTTTATATTCTACTAATAACGAAGTTGTGGGCACTTTGAATTTTACCAAAAAAATCAAGCACTGGGTTCATGGGTTCTAATCCAAGGCGAGACACGGATGTTCGACTACGTTTGTCCTGTGTATGTGTTATTCTGTGTAGGTAGTGGCCTTGCGTCGAGCTGATCCACCTTTTCCTACCGACTGCCTACAAGATTCACAATTTCAGAATTAATTCTGAATGGAGAAGAGACCAGAGAGCGTAACCCATCAAGGCAGAAGAAGTGAGGTTGTTGTTTCAAGACACCGAGAGATGGCTAATTTACGTGGGAACACTATATCAGCAGCTGCTTGTGTGCCACTGCCGAGTATAATCTGATGTTGCTCTGAGGCAGCTGAAGGGCAGACGAACTAATTAGCTCGTTAGAAGAGGATTATATTTCGACGGATACTGGAAATTACTGTTTAATAATGAAAACCATTTAGCTTGGAACATGTCCAAATATCAGACCTTTGTTTCGTATGGGAATTTCTTCGTTATGAATGTGACTGAGCAGCCATATCTGGTATGCGTAAGTGCGAGGGCGTAACAAGCTAATAATAGCTGTTGTGTACAATTTCATACTTAATTTGGTGTTCGTTTCAGTATTCTTTACTACACGCAGGAGAATAATGAGCCGATCTGGGATGATGGGGGCTAGAATAGGATATAGTGAAGACCCCAAAGAAGAAAGTATGCTACAACTGATGGTATTTTCGAAAATGAACATTAACATTTAAATTCAAAATATCCTTAATTAAATATATTGTCAGGCTTATTCTTATTCTCCAATTAAAAGAATTTAATATAATTATAAATAGCATGCCTGGTTTGGCCCCCAGCATCATGCTGTGTAACGCAATGCTTCACCGGTCAGAAGCCACGATGCAAGTATGCTGGCTGTAGAAGTGACCATACACAGGAAGGAAATATTAGGTTATGCCTAATATCTCTCAATCTCACCACAAGTGTACTTTGTTACTAAGAGGCCCGCAAAAACTGTTAACTAAGTTGTAAGGTTTGAGGTTTTCACGGCGGTGACTATGAAGAATGCCGTCTTCTGGGATGTGGCTCAGTGTAGATATTGTGTGAAGAGACGTTTCGGAGGAAGTGCAGACCGCAGCCTCCTGTTCACGCTGCTTCCTCGCTCGTGGATTTTTCTACCCTGAAGATAAGGCGATACGTTCCTCTGAAACATCGGTTCACCCAAGATCTACACAGCGCCACATTGATAAAATTGTAAAATTATTAAAATATA